AATAAATGACAAAAGTGTTAGTGAATCATTAGTTGAAAATCACCATGCTATAAAAATTCATACTGAAGAAGAATTGATAGATGAAATAATTGATCTCGAATTGGATCCCCATTCTGCTTTTGTAAGTCATATTAATTCTCCAAATGAGTTTTGGGTTCAGGAAGAAAAATCTGTTGGTGATTTAGAAATTATGACTGATAGATTTATTGTAGCACATATGTTTGCTAAAGTCGATGAAATTAAAGAAAATTTATTGTGTGTTGCTAAATATCCTGAAGATGAATGTTGGTATAGAGCACGCGTTATATCACACAATGATAATGCTACACGAGTTATATATATTGATTATGGAAACTCAGCTACCTCAACTGAAATACGTGCTATACCGGCAGATCTTGCGGAAATACCTCCTCTATCAAGAAAATGTCGTTTAGTTATGCCAGAAGAAATTACAGAATGGTCTGAAAAGGCTTGTGAAGAATTTATAGCATTAGCAGCTGATGGAGCAACTATATTTTTATTAGATGTAATCAAAGAAGATGAAACATCATTGGTGAAATTAACATTAGATGATAAGAATGTAACAGATATACTTGCAAATTTCTGCCAACATTATCCATCAATCATAGAAGAACGATTACCTCCTTTAGGTGAAGAAAATTCACCTAATGTATTTATTAGTCGTATCAATACACCAGATGAATTTTGGATTCAAACTGAAAGTAATACTACAGATTTAAATATGATGATAGATAGATTAAAAACAGCATCTACTTTTCTTCCATTAAATACATTTGAAATTGGTACTATTTGTGCTGCAAATTATTCAGAAGATAGTCAATGGTATAGGGCAAAAATTCTTTCACATTCTGAAAATGGTACTGAAGTTTTATACATAGATTATGGTAATACAGCAATTACAAATGAAACACGAATATTACCAGTAGATATTATAAATATTCCTCCTTTAGCAAAACGCTGCACTTTACAAAAACCAGATATCATAAATTTTTGGCCTTTAGATGCTTATAAAACATTTGAAGATCTTGCTGCAGGTGGAGAAACAATGTTTCAATTTGAAATTCTTGATAATACCAGTGATCCTGTTTGTATTAAATTAATTTATAATGAAAAAAATATTGTTGATATTTTAGTACCATTTTCTAAAAATATATCTAAGAATAGTCCAGAAGATAAAGAAGAATCATACAAAGATAAAAATGTTAATGAGATGAAAAATAATAATGAAAATGAAAAAATTATGAAAACAGAAGAAATAAATGAAATAAGTAAAGAAAATATAGATATAAATAAATTTCAAGAAAATATTGAAAGTCAAAATCAAGAAATTGAAAAAAATAATTTATGTTTGAATACTTCTATTGTAGAACTTAGTGTAGATGAAATAGTTCAAAATATGAAAGTGGATGAACCAGAAGAAGATGAAGATATGTTTAATAATCATAATATTATTGAATCTTGCCATGAAGATAAAATAAAAAATGATTTAGAACATTTAAAACCACAAGTTGAAATACAAATATATAAGAAAGAAAATGAAATGCAAGATATTCAAAATAGTACAGAAAGCAATAAAATGCATGACGAAATAAAAATTATAAATGAGGAAATTTTATCAAATACAAAAGATAACATTGAAACAATTCTAAACTCCCCAAATATTAAAAATGTAGAAAATCTTGAAACAGAACAAAATAATATAATACCAGAAACACAAATATGCAATAATGAAATAAGAATATGTGAATCAAATATTCAAAATCATTGTGAAAATCCTAGTAATGAAAATACATTAGAATCAGAAAAATTTGTCAAAATACAACATATAGAAACATTAGAAAAAAATGAAACAAATAAATCTTCTATAAGTTTTAGAAAAGAAGAATCTTTATGCATTGATGAAGAAGAAAAAAATAATGCTGAAAACAGTAAAACATTACAAAACATTAACGAAATAAATATTAATATAACAGATTTTAAAGATAAAATGATTAGTTCAGAAATGCAACTGAGTAATTGTGAAATAGGAATACATGAATCAAATATAAATATTAAATGTTGTGGAAATTCTAATAATGAAAACACATTACAATCTGCAGAAGAATTTGTCAAAATACAATGTACAGAAACATTAGAAAAAAATGGAACAAATAAATCTTCTATAAGTTTTAGAAAAGAAGAATCTTTATATATTGATAAAGAAGAAAAAAGTAATGCTGAGAACAGTAAAACATTACAAAATATTAATGAAATAAATGTTAATATAACAGATTTTAAAGATAAAATGATTAGTTCAAAAATGCAACTGAGTAATTGTGAAATAGGAATACATGAATCAAATATAAATATTCAATGTTGTGAAAGTTCTAATAATGGAAAGACATTACAATCTGCAGAAACACAAGAAAAAAATATAACAAATAATTCTTCCATAAGTTTTTTAAAAGCAGAGACTAATATTTCAAATATTGATGAAAAAAAATGTAATATTGAAAGTAAAAACAATAATGAAATAAATATTAATATAATAAATTCTGAAAACAATTTTGAGGTAAAAGATACGAATGAAAAAATATTTTCAGATTTACAATCTACTGAACTAAAAAACAACGAATTTAAGATTATTGACAAGCAAGATAGAGTTCCATTAATTACTGTGACAGTTTCTGAAAATGTTAATGAAAATAATGATATAACAAATTCTTCACAGTTTGAAAGTATTTCTACAACATCAGAATAATTATTAATTCTAAACTAACTTTAACTATTTGAATATTTATTTTAAGTGATATTAAAATTATATCTTCAAAATGAATGTTATTTACTTTTTTAAAAAAATTTGTATTTAATTTAGAACTATTTTATTACATGAATAATATCTTGCTTGAAAATATAAGATTATTGTAAAGAAGAAATATTATTATATTTTGTCCAAAAAAAAGTTAATGAACAACATTCCCAACCGTACATAACAGCTTTAAATGTAAAGTATAAAATATTTTTATTCATATATTATTTTTTATCTCATTATTAAGAATAATACTTTGCATTGATTGATTATGTAATGTATTAAATAATTTTCGTATGTACTCTTATAAAATATAACAGAATATTGTTGTAGTAATATAATATAATTGTTATATGATTTTTTTTAATTAAAATATAAATTTTCTTTGATTAATTTGATATAATATTTGAAAATTATTAAATTTATATGTTTATATATCTCATTTTGAATTATAAACTCATTGAATTTTTAATTATTAATAAAAATTTGTTTATGTAATCATTTATCTTTTTGAATGATTTATAATAATTTTTTGATGATAAAAATAATAAAAGCTACGGAATTTTTTGTATTTTAATAATTTAATTTTGTTTTCAAATATTTTATAATTGAAGTACATATAATTTTCGCGTTAATTAATGTGTTGTTTTTAATATTAATATACTGAAAAATTATAAAATAAAAATTATCAAAAAAGCCTATAAATAATAATATAAATATATTATTATTGTTAAGGTACTAATTATAAAATTAAGAATAAATTTTATAATTGAAGAATAGATGTTTTATAAAATTATATCAAATTTATGATAAAAAGTGAGATTTAATAAATTTTCGACATATTTTTTTCTATAATAATTTAAAATTAAATTTTTGATTTGGAAATATTAATTTTTATTACTACAACATTTTTCTTTTTTAAGTAATTATATTTAAAATAATTATGAACACAATAATAATATTTCAATACTGATGTTAATAAAAACTAAATCTGATTATTATAATTAATTTAGTTTCTATTGCAACATATTTTTTAAGTTTTCATACAAATAAATAGAAAGATAAAATTTATCAATTATCAATTTTTCGTGTATAAGCTGATAATTTTTATCAAATACAGTTTTTCATACTTGTATGATGCTTAATAATAACATTAAAATGCCTTTAAGAATGATTGTTAATACATTTTATAGTTAATATATATATATATATATACACACACATATATATATATATATATACATGTGTAGTATTTTATTAATTGATGATACAATGTCTTTTCCATAAATGTTTATTACGATAATGTACGTAAATATATGCTCTATAATTATTACTTTTATACTACATTAAAAAATCTAAACTTATATAAGTATATTATACTTTAATATATTAGCATTTAAGAAACAGATTATTTCTTAATCAGAAATTGTTTTTAATATAATATTTCAAATATGAAATGAAAGTAAGAAAATATATGTAATATTATGAAATTTTTACTTTTAAAAAATGTGAATGATCAATTGTTTTATAAAAATAATTTTTTATAATTAATTGCAAAATTAATAACAACATTTCTAGGAACTTAATCATATTTTCTGTTTCTTAAATTCTAAAAAAATATTCTAATAAAATAGCATATATGTATATATTACTTTAAAAATAATTTTAATAAATCAATGTAATAAAAACAAGTTACGTACTAAAAAAAAGTAAAAATTTATTTTATTATTTATGTTATTTTTCTGTGTTATTTTTTATCAAAATGCATAAATGCTAATTTCATTTATTTTTTATTTTATATATTTATATAAATGTAAACATATCTTTATTTCAAATTATAAACGTTATTAAAATATTGAAACATAAATCAACCTCATGTACTTTACATAGCATATACAGTATTTCATTCTTTAACAAATATGAGATTATGTAAGCATTTTTATTATAATAAAATATATTTTCTAATACGAATTTAAAAATGTTTATTATTTTAAATAAAATTATAATGTTAGAAAAAAAAATTAAAAAAAATATTAAATTTAAATATTTAATATTTTGAAAAAAAAATCCTAATTGAAATTGAAATTTAAATAATAATAATAATAATAATAATAATAAATTTAACAATAAATATAATAATAATATAATAAAAAAATATGTTTTATTATATTTTTTATTTATTTATTCAAATTTACATTGTATTTTTCGTTTCATCTTCATTTATATCTTCTTTATCTTTTTTCTTGCTTGATATTTTTTTCTTTCTCCGTCGTCTTCTTTTTTCTACTTAATAGAAGTTAATATTTTAATTTTTTCTATAATATAATATAACAATAATTTCTATATTCTATATTCATTCTATATAATGATTTTTCGAATTTTTTAATGATTTAAATTCGTACATATAATAAGATCTCGTGTAACTAATTCCTGTCAAATCGAATTTCTAACCGAAAATATATGCAAGAATAAATCCTTTTCTAATGATTACAATACAGATGATTTATATATTGTAATAATATTGTATAATATACATATATATCTATGTATATAATCTGTAATTTTTTATAACAATAATAATAATAAATAATAAAATATAGTTATATATCAATAATTTTCACATATTTCATATATTACTTTTTAAATAAATATATTTTAATGTGATAATAAAAAATTTAATAATTCTTTTAAATATCTTATATATCTAAGGAAAAATAATTGAAATTTACTGTATTATTACATTTTTTCAAATTCATTGTATAATTACATTTTTATGAAAGAAATTGAATAAAATTAAAATTAAATATATTATTTTAATTTATTACTATTACATATAAAATAATTTTTCAAAAATGTTTAATAATGAATATGTTTTATATCGATTTATTTGCATGATAAAATGAAATCATACCTTTTTGCTTAGCTATTTTAATATTCTTTTTCATTTCTGCATTATATATTTCTTGCTTTTTAGTCATCATAATTTCTCGAGCTGCTGCTATTTCATCTTCTAAGTACCATTGAAGAGGACCTCTAAGTCGTCTAGATGTGATTAAGTCAGCCAAAGGTTCAAATTCAATTCCTCGACGTAGACGTCTGTCAACAAGTTGTCTGTCACCTCGATATTTACCTCGAAGACTAATTCGGTCTCGAATATTTCTTTGAGTACTTCGTTGACTGAAATTTAGATTATCGTCATGCTCTTGGATACGAATTTTAATATCAGGTCCTCCATCAGATCCTCCGCTTGAAGGAAAAAGTGGCATAGATCTTTTTCTCGATGCACTTAATTTTGGATCATAATTTTTGATATCACAACAAAATCCATAAGGTTTCACAAAAAATTCATTGTATGATGTACTAGCATTAAGTAACTTTGTTCGGTCTTTTTTCATGTTTTATTTAAAACAATTAATATTAATGTATTTTAAATTTAAACATGAAATACATGTATTAAAGCAAAAAGAAAGAAAAAGGAGAAAGAGAAATCATGCTGGTTTTTTTTTTAAAAATTAGGTTTGAAAAATTTGAAAGAACTATCTCAGAAAATCATTGTTTTTATGTAAATAAAAGTTGTTACACATTAAAGTAATCACATTATATTTTTCATTGCTTTTAATTAGAATAATATTATAAGATTAATAATGAAATAAATTAAATATTCAATACAATTTATAAATTGAATAAGATTATTAAAAATTATTAATTATATGAATAAAATATTTTCATCTTAATCATTTTTTATATTAAAAATTTATTGCTTTAATTATATATAATCTATCATAATTTAAAGTAAAATACTTTAATATTACAATTTTAATTTAATATAGAACACGTATATTTATAGAGTAAACGAAAAAGCGTTTCTCATGTTTATCGTGTAAACGAATGATACCGTTTCAAGAAAATTTTATATATGTAATTCATAGATTATTAAATAATACATATGTGAATTTGAAATGTTATTTATAAAATTATGAATTCTACTACTTTGTCATCTGGAACTTTGAGTCATTCGCCAGGACAAAGAGGTACAGAATCCCAAGATTCAGAATTAACCTCTGTTGGAAATCAAACTTCGAAAATATTGAATCAAATGAAATCTGAGTTACAAGAACAAAAACAACAGGATCGTTTACTTCGAGAGTTACATTTAAAACGTGTTCAATCATTAAGAAAAGAATTAGATTATATTAAAGCAACAGAGTGGAGATATCAACCAATCGATCGGTATATGTTGATTATTGCAAATATATATTATAGATATGTAATGTTTATACAAATATTAATAACAAACATAAATATTTATAGGTATATGGATAGAAATAGTAGAAATTAAATATGTTTTCATTTATATATACACTTATAAAATATACTATAGGAAATAAATCATCAATTAAAAATGAATCAGATGAAATAAATAATGTTATAGCACGCATTGAAAATGCTTATGAAAAAGAAATACAAGAAGATGAATATTTTAATAAAGATGCTAATTATTATAAAATAGGAAATATTACTTTAATTGACACAGATTATGTAGTAGTTGATGATTTTTATATTTGTGATAGAGTGAATATTTCTATAGATAACTTAAAAGTAGGTGATAGAGTTTATTATTTGCTTTTCCAAGACAATCATGGAACAGGATATAAAATAAAAAAGATTATTTCTGTGATAGATGAATCATGGGATAATGAAATAAATGTTATTAAACCTCAAACATTAACAAAATGTATAATTGGAAAAGTTACAGAACGTAAAAATCGATTATTAATTGTAGAACCTAATAATATTATTGTTGATTTAAACAAAGTACAATCTGAATTTATTCCTGTAATTGGAGATTGGTTAAAATTAGAATCAGAAGTAGAGATTGATGAAATTTCTTATAATTTTAGTGGAGAAATTTTGGAGATAAAAAAAATACAACCTCTACGATCTAAGTTAAACATTGGAATTGTATCTTGTTTTGACCCAATTAAAGAAATTGGTGTTATTGGAAAAGATACTGTATTTAATAAAAGGATATGTGATACTGGCTATATTCCTTGTGTTGGTGATAAAGTAATAAATGACAGTATTGAGAGTGATCAAGGAATTTATACATGGAGATCATTAACAGTAGTTCCAGTGATTCAGGTAAATTTTGAATAAATTGTTTTAGATAATAAATAATTACAATTACAATTATTACAAATTATTACACAATTTATTAATTACAATTTTAGATAATAAATAATTACACATTTTTATAAATGTCTTAATTAATTTCTATTTAATTTTAAAAAAATTAACATTTTTATTAATATTATAGTATTATAATATTTGAATACTATGTTTAAATTTAATAATAAGAAAAATTATGTACAATAAAAAAATAATATTTAAAATAAAATAAAATATATACATAATAAGAATAAATTTATTCTTTATAGACTTCTATAAAAAAAATGAAATTACCAATGTTATATAATACCTTTACATCAAAAAAAAATTTAAATGAACTTGCAAAAGATAAATGTGGTATTGTTATCAGTGATAATATAAACATTGATTTAAATATAGAAGAAGAAAAAAATGTAACAGTTATTGTAGAAAATGTAGGTAATACTACTCATGTATTGTGCAAAGGTTGTTTTATGATAAAAAAAGCCCATTCTCAATTAACTTTGATGCAACCAATTATTCCTAACACAATCTTAAATCCTTCTGATAAATTAATTTATATATTTAAGTGCACAGCAAAATTTATTGGTATAAGCAAAGAATTATTTATCTTTAATTTTAAAGATTTTGAAATCGGACGAATTTTTAATATTACTATTAAACCTAAAACTATAAAAAATAAATCATATAGTAAAAATAATAATGTTAATATCAATTATATGTCAAACTTGGATGAATGGAATGAAGCTACATACATTCCAGGTATTCGTCCATGTAAACCACCATCATTTATTAAAGTACGAAATATGATATTTAAAGTTCCTAAACATTATTGGGATATAATATCAAAATGTATAAATGAAGGAAAATCACAAACTGAAAGTGAATATGATATAGGAAATGCTATACCTTGTTTATTAAATAGACTTTGTTTTGAATCATATAAAGATCGTTTTCATGCATTATTATATTTAGAAGAAATTGCACAAACAATAAACTTGCAACAATATAATATAGATAGTACAATTATGAGACGTTGTGGAGAATATTTGGTTATGGAAGTACCAGGACTTGCAGAAAAACGTCCATCTCTTTTGGTTGGTGATAGAGCTATAGTATCTTTCAAATGGGATAGTTCTCAAGGTATGTTATGAAATTTGTAAAACTATATTATTATATATCTATTTCAATAAATAATTATATAAATTTTATAAATTATAATATATTATATATATTATATATATTATAAATTATATAAAAAAAGTCTTTCTATATAAAATTTAAATTTTAATATTTGAAATAGGAAAATTAAAATATGAAGGATTTATTCACAAAATTACAAATTTGGAAATTTTTTTGAAATTTAATTACAAATTTCATCAAGAATATAATTATGATGATTGTCAAGTATCATTTAAATGTTCACAATCTGTCATGCAACGTTGTCATAATGCAATTAATATGGCTGTACATCGTCTTGGTCAAAATTTTTTGTTTCCTACTCATGTAATAGAAAAAGAATCTCAATTAGATATTGAAGAATTTGAAATAAAAAATAACTCAATTTTTAAACAGACTCATCAACGGACTAATTCTGTATCATCAGAATCTTCTTCTACTAGTACTACATCTACAAGTAATAAATCTAATGGTACAACAAAATCGTTTACAAAAATGTCAGTTGTACAACGATTATTTAATGTTGAACCAATTGAGCAAAATCTAGCAATGAAATCTGATATAATTGTAAAAAATGAATATATTAAAACAAAAGATGAAATGAATGTTATTAAAGATGCAATGCATGAATTGCCAGATTCAAATTCTTCTTATAATATTGAATTACAGCCAATTATTTCACAAGTACGAAAACGAAAATTGCATTGGTTTAATAAAAATTTAAATTACTATCAGAAAGAAGCTGTAAAAAATATCTTAAAAGGACATGCACGACCATTACCTTATGTGATTTTTGGACCACCTGGTACAGGAAAAACCATTACTCTTTGTGAAACAATTCTGCAAATTTTATCAATTATACCTGAAAGTCGATTATTAGTTGCAACACCATCTAATAGTTCGGCAAATCTTATAGCAGAAAGACTTTTAGATAGTGGTGTACTTAAACCTGGTGATATGGTATGTATTAAAATTATATAATCTTATTTCATAATAATTTTAAATGGATTCAATTTAAATTTTTAGTAAACAAATTTTTATATTATTGTTTGATTAATTATGAAAAATAAATAAAAATATAAATATATTTAAAGACAATTAAATTTGATATTATTTTATCATTTTTTGTATTAGTATTCATGCTATATTAATTCTATATATAATACAATAATATATACATATTATTGTATTTATAATATATGTTATTATGTATATTCTATATATAATATATATTATATATATTATATATATATATAATTATTAACTTGGAAAAAAAACTTTGCTTCTTTTATAGGTACGACTTATAGCTTATCATTGCTTGGGTAATGATTCCATACCCAATAAATTATTACCATACTGTGCCACTGCAGAATTAGCAGATGAAACAACAGTTGAAAAAATAAAATATAATGGAGTAGGACCAAAATTAAATTGTACTATGAGTATACTTGGACGCCATAGAATTACTATTGGTACCTGTATTGCATTGGGAATATTAAATAATATGGGTTTTCCTCGTGGACATTTTTCACATGTACTAGTTGATGAAGCAGGTCAAGCAACAGAACCAGAGATTATGATTCCACTTAATTTTATTCATTCTGATTATGGACAAGTAGTTCTCGCAGGCGATCCATTACAACTCGGACCAATTGTACAAAGTGGAATAGCAAAAAATTTTGGTTTAGACGAGTCATTTTTATTAAGATTGTTACGTCATTTTCCTTATCAAAGAGATCCTAATGGATTTGAAACACATTATGATCCTCGACTTGTCACGAAACTTATTGTAAATTATCGAAGTTTACCAGAAATACTCGAATTATCAAGTTCATTATTTTATGATTCTGAATTAAAAGCACAGGTATTTATTTATATCATAAACTTAGATTTTTTTTATAAATATAATGATAATTAAAATAAATATTTTTAGATATCTTCTAAAAAAAGTAAAGAAGCAAAACTTTTACAAACATTAGCTTCTGAATTGCCAAAAAGAAAAGGTATTCCACCAGCTATAGTTTTTCATGGTGTAAATGGTGAAAATTGTAAAGACAACGATAGTCCAAGTTGGTATAATCCTGAAGAAGCAACTCAAGTATATCTTTATTTGTTAAAGTTATATAAATGCGGTCTTTCACCCGATGATATTGGAATTATAACTCCTTATCAAAAACAGGTAAAAAAAATAAAAATAAAATAATTATAAAATCATTTTATACTATATTTATTGTTTGATACAGGTTCTTCAAATTCGTGAATTACTCATGGAATTAAATATAGAATTACCAAAAATTAGTAGCGTTGAAGGATTTCAAGGTCAAGAGCGCAATGTTATCATTATTTCAGCTGTACGATCTTCAACTAATTTTGTAAATGAAGATATTAAACATTCTCTTGGATTTGTTGCTTGTCCTCGAAGACTTAATGTGGCAGTTACTCGAGCTCGTGTTTTAGTTATTATCTTAGGAAATCCCAAACTTTTGGCACAAGATCCATATTGGAAAAGCGTTTTAATATATTGTATTAATCAAGATTCTTATACTGGATGTAGTTTCGGTTTTTCCAATATGGAAGATTCTTGGATAGAAGCAAATAATTTTTTTATTAATGATGAAATAAACAAATCATGATGATTTATGGCAATATTCATTAATTATATCTTTTTTATATCTATCGCATAAAATATCTGTTATTAAATTATAAAATTACATTTTATCAAATATACAGTATTTTATGTTCATATATGTTTTTAGGAAGGAATAAATAATATTGTTGATATTATGATTTAAGGCTATATGTTAGAAACTATTTTCATATAAATTAATTGAAATTTTTCATAAAGAATTTATATTTAATTTTTTAAATAATAAATTTATATTTTTTGATTTTTATTTATTTTAAAAAAATTGATTTCTAATTTCTCTAGATTATTGTATAGCAAATAAAGTATGTATTTTTTAAGTTAAAAAAAATCTTTTTGTTAGAATTACTGCTTACAAATATTCGAAATTAGAAATGTTGAAAAAAGTATCGAATTATATGTACTTTCTTTTTATACATTTCTTATAATGAAATGTATAAATACATATTACAAAAAGTATAATAATTTTCATGTAATAATATACATATACGTATATTTATACAATTTTTCCACAAATATATTTTTATTCATTCAATTTAATTTTCTTAAAAAAGAGTTTGAATAAAAATATATTCATTTTACAATATAATTCTGTCTTTAACTTACTTATATAGAATTGAATTATTTCACTGTCAGATGTTCTGCTTACAGTTTGAGTTAAATGCCTTGTTAGTTAGTGTCCTTGCATATTACATCGTGATGTCATAAGTCCAAGTTCCATGAGCTTTGATACTATAAAAAAATAAAACTTTGTTATGATGTATATAAAATAAAAAAAATTAAATTTCATTTACATTTAAATAATACAAATTTCATTACATTTTTTCAAATTACATTTGAAATCTGAAAATTTTATATGCTTTTGATTCATATATACATGAATGATTTGATTAATGAAAAATATCTTATATTTATAGAATATAATACGATTGTAATGATTGAATTGTATAGAATATAATATGAACACATTATATTTTTTAAATGAGTTTAATTTTAAAAAGATAATTAATTAAGTTAATTAAATATTAGTATGTTATATTATAATATAATATAACTTATAATATAACTTTTCGACGAGAATGCTTTTATATAATATATAATAACTTTTATAAGAGAATGAAATTTATGATAAATATGATGTAATTGTTAAAAAAATTATGATTAAAAAGTAAATAATGATTTAGTAATATCTTAATAAATTTTTTAATGTAAATATTATTTTTTATTGAAGAAAGTTTTAATTATTTAAGTTAATTAGATGACAAAAAAATTTATTAATGCTCGAAAATGATTGTGAATGATACTGACCTTAGTTAGTTCCACACTATACTTACAGGATCTTGATTCTTAGCTTTTAATTTCCGTTCAATTAAATTTTCTAATGCTTCACTACGAACACTTAAGGTTTCAATTTTTTCAACTAGCTGTTGATAAGGTGATGCAGGTTGTCCACCCATTACAACATGTCCTAATTTGCTATCTATTTTGGCATCTAATCGTGCATTACGGATTAGATTGACAATCCAGCATTCTGCTACATCTGCTTTCATATTAAGTTTTTCTGCAAGCATTCTGTAAATAAAAGCATTCTATATATAAAAATATATTAAAAAATTTTAAAAATATGTTTCATTATTCTTTTTTAATTAGATGTAAAATTATTATATACCCAATACTTATACATTGATGTATTCTACAGAATGTTTCAAAGATCATTAAACGAGCATTTTCTACAAATTCACTCAATAATGCAATCAAGAAAAAATCATTGAACACAACTGTTTGACATTCTTGTAATTTTTGTCTTGCTCCATCAAAATCAAAATTGACATATAAATGTTCTAGAAATTCCGTAATGGGGTCACGATATGTATAAGATTCCTATTAATAAGTACAATAAATAGAATAATTATTAGATCTTAAGATTGTATAAAATCGAAATTTTATTAATTAAATAACATTTTATCATTAAATTAATCACAAACCTGTTGTATTACTTTTACAAGATCTTTTAATATAGATCGTCTAGAACGATTAACAATGACAGCTGCTGCTAAATATCTCAATATATGAGGACACATTGTTTGAATTGCATTTAAGTAACTGTAATATAATAAATATTTTATTATACTTATTACATTATTTTAAGAATATTTAAAAAAAATTAACATACTGTGGTCTATAAAGAAACATTTCTACAATTAAATCTCTGCCTTTCACATGATTAAAAAATACAAATAAACTCCAATGAATAAGCCATGTTCTTTGTTGTAATACTTGAAGAGAATTTCCTATCACATTACTATCAATGTATTCTCTCAATTTATTTACATCTTCTAATGCAGTTTCCCAATTTTGCACTAAAATTTCTGATGCTAATTTACCCCAAAGTACATTTAAATAATTCTAAAAATTATAAATACCACATTATTATAAAAATGAATCAAATTTATAAATTATTCTATATTTTATATATTCTATATATTAAATTTATATAAAATATTTATATATATATAAATACCTTATCAGTTGGTGGCATTATAAGCATATAGAAATACAAATATGATGTAGAAACAGAGTAATTGCCACATTCATAACGATATTTTGCTAATTTCACAAAACTATCCATCATTTCCACTCTGAACTATAAAAGCATATATAATGAATAAATTTTTATAAAAATTATTATATTATTCATATAAAAACATGATATTAATTAAATAAAATTATTACTATATTGTGTATAATTATATATAATTACACAAAAATATATTGGTATATAAATTTTTACTTTATTCACTTACATCAGATTCTTGAGTAAGATAATTATTTAATGCTTTAGAATCTCTCATATTTTCCATTTTTTTCATGACTTCCTCATTATTCATAAGTGCCACAACAACAGACACATTATTTTGTAAAATACTAAGTTCTTGTAATACATCTGCACGACGAGCTTTTAATTCCTATGATTTAAATTTCTCAATCATATTTGTTAATTACAAAACACATATTATATACTATAATTTATAATTATTTATACCTCAGGCACCTCCAAATTAGGATAAAGTTGTTTTCGAATATCAATTGTATAATCTATCATATTTGTTTTGCTAAGAATATCGAGCTTAGCTTGTAATAACTCGTCTTCATCGTAAATCTGAAAAGCACAAGTACATTATAACCAAACCATCTAAAGCAAAAATATTTTTTTATTTTATTATACCTGTTTCGCAGATAAGAACTCTAAAAGTGGAAAAACTAAATGTCGATCAAGATATTGACCTATACGCGATGTCAAATCAAATTTCGCCATTTCGTTTTTTAAGAAAAATCGAACGAAAGCGGTTCTAACCACAATCTAAGGATAAAAATGGAGCCGATCAAGCGACCACGCTCCACGTTAATGTCAAAGAATGTAGAATAGATTGAACAGAAAGTTTCTATAAAAGTAGATTTCGATACTAGCGCTACATTATGATTTTTCAAATGAATTAAATATTTTATCATCGTTTAATTTCAAAAATATATGATGTATGTTTTATATTTCTACAATTGAATGATACGAATAAAATGAAACAATAATATATTTTCTAATAAATTTAATTTAAAAAATTGTTCATAATTGTATGAAAATATATTTATCGTAATTATTAGATATTTTTATCTTAATCAATTATTATATATTTATATTAAGATTAAAAAAATAAAAAAGTAATTTCAAAATATTTATTTAATTTATAAAATGATTTCATTAAAAAAAAATAAAGAAGAAGAGTAAATAGTAAAAGAAATAGATTAAGAACTGTTAGTGCCATCTTTCGAGTAATACTCGAAAAATAGCGTTGATTTTCAATTCTCATCTGATTTCATCTTAAAGACATATTCTGAAAAAGATATTTTCAGCATTCAAGAAATGCCGCCAAAAATAAATTTTTTATTCTATTTCTATCTTTCTTCTGCTATTTGCTATTCTTGTTCACTATATTTCATTTATGGCATTCTAGAGATGGTGTTGATTTTTATATTTTTAATCTATCTCTATCTTTCTTCTATTATTTATTCTTCTTGTCTATATTAACATTTGACATTTTAACATTTGATACAAATGAAGTATGTGATGTCAACTGAATTTACTCTTATCATTTCTCTTTCAAAATATTCTAATTTTTAATAAAAAAAATATAAACATTTACATGTTATAATGTATCTCTAGGACGATAAGCTCTCAAGATATAATATATTATATATGATATTCTTATATATGATATTCAATCAGGGTATACCAAATAGTTTGATTTTTTGCACGATCGATAATTCAGAACATGAGAGAAATCTCATAAGATGGTAGGTAGGTCTATTCCATATCTTGACTGTGGTTCTATGATCTAAAAGTAAATTTCTGTTCACTTGTAAATTTTGTTAATAAATTTTCTGCTTTTGATATTTGTAAATATCGATAAGTGAATGAAATGCCACCTAAAAAGACACCTGCTCCTAGTAAAAAAGCGGAACAAAAGAAAAAAGAAAAAGTTATCGAGGTATATTTAAATATTCTTTCTAACCTTAAAATATCACACATATTTTAAACTTGTATATTTATCGAAATTTGTTACTTTTTAAACTTTCTCATAATATCATCTATTTTTTGTAGGATAAGACTTTTGGTATAAAAAACAAAAAAGGTGCCAAACAACAGAAATTTATTCAACAAGTAGAAAAACAAGTAAAATCAGGTGGTGTTAATCCACGAAAATTAGAAGATCCTAATATTAAAAAACTTGAAAAAGAAAAAAAATTAAAGGAGCAGAAAGAATTAGCGCTCATATTTAAACCTGTACAATCACAAAAAATAGATAAAGGTATTAACTGAAATTGCAACAGTTAATTATAAGATGTGAGATCAACAATTATTTAAATATATTATATATATAAATTATTATTTTAAATGTTTCATGATTACAATTTGTTTTACTATGCAGATATAAACATAAAATTTAATATATTTATTTAAATTTTTTAGGAACTGATCCTAAATCGGTAGTATGTGCATTCTTTAAACAAGGACAATGTACAAAAGGTGATAAATGCAAATTTTCTCATGATTTGAGCGTAGAGAGAAAAGCAGAAAAACGTTCATTAT